GATTGTTGAGGCTCGAGAACAGAAATGCCAAGCTTTATGGATATTGTCAGTGAAAGGGATCTTGATATCTGAACTGGTGGAAAGTAACTACATTTCACATAGGGGAAAATGTCATTTCTTAGCATCTGGCTGAGGGACAGAGCTTTAAACCTACTACTGGGCAGAATGGCTAAAAAGGCCAGGCATGGGACAGCAAGTGTCGTGGTGACTGAGATGCTGGATCCCACATGACAGACTCTATGGTTTGAGCCCCAGACTGGCAGCCTGAAAAACATGCTGAGTGCATGTGTGCATGCCCAAAATCATAAGAGAATGAATGGAGGAAAAGGGATTATGGCATGTCTATCCCTGTTTGCATGATTTCTCACTTTCCCTCTCTGTTTCTCTCTGGTGAGTACACTTTGCCCATTACCAAAAATATCTATAAAAAAAAAAAAAAAGGCCAAGTAAACTAGTGACCAACAAGTTCTTTGGAGGACAGAAGGCATGAGATGAGATGCATGTGTAGGAAAGGAAGGCCAGTAATTTACATGCAGAAACAGTTGGTAAGGGAACTAGAACTAATATTTAGTCACTCGGGTCTCCATGCAAATATGTAGAGCATACATAATAAAATGAGCTGAGTTTTACTGGGAAATAGGACTAGTGTGTACTTTGTTACTGATGGGACTCAAAGTTGGAATCTACCAAGACTTGTTAGAGGTGAGGCAGTGAGCTCTGCAGGGAACCTATGAACCAAAGGGAAAAACCCAGAGAATGTGTTGGAAAGAGGAACCAGAGACAACATAATTGTGTTCCTTTTTTAAAGGCCATATAAGTGGGTGGGGAAAATGGCAGACGTGTACCTGGTATAGAAAACAAGAAGTGGCCATACAGATAGATACCTGCTGAAACTCTTAGTGAGATGTGGGTATAGTTGCTTGCCTTCCCTTGGTGAAGTTTTAATTTATGCTAAGGTAGAGGACTTGAGTACTTTACTTAATCCTGACCATTAAAGAGGAATTAATTAATCAAATCAAATTATTTATTGTTGAAACTTGGGAGATGAAAAAGGATTTTTCCTACATGGAACTTAGATTTGTACAGAAGTAGTTATTGAAAGTTTCAAGGGAGAAAAAAATAAGTATTTCTACTAGGCAAGTCTAGAAAGCATATAAGGCACTGGACACTCCCACATTGCTGACCGAAGTTCAAATCCTGGACGTGGTGGCTCGCTTTCTCATTTTCTCTCTCTCTTTGTGTGTGTGTGTGTGTGTTGTGGGGGGGTGTCAAATTTAAATAAATGAATAAATAAATAAAAAATAATTCTTAAAAAAATTTGAAAAGAAAAAAAAGCATATTGACTAGGAAGCTTGTGAAACTGTCAAAAATATAATTCAGAACAACTAATCCAAATGATTTCCTATGAAGAATTACAATAAATCAGACAAACAAATAACCATAGAATGGTTGTACAGGTTGTGTTCCTCTGAGCTTGTAAATTTTAAAACATAAAACAAAAAGGTTATGCACAATTAGCTTCAAGAACATTAAGGCCCTGAATGAGTGGAGTTATTAAAATATGTTATAGATTAAGAACGAAATAATCTTCTACAGATGAGTTTGAAACAAAGAAGTACTAGGCTGATGCCTCAGGTCTGGCCTGGTGTTGTAACACTGATTTATGATAGAGAAAGTGGCTCTTATTTTGTACTCTTAATGACATTGACCCAGACTGAAAGAGACAGGGTGAACTTTTGTCAGACAGGTGAAGGTGGCCAGGGCCCCCATGTGCTTATGTTTATGGGCATGAAGTCTTGCAAGTTCAAGTTAGAACCACAGGTTTGTTTCAGTGATCTAGGAACTCAGAAAGGTGCTAAACGAACATATGTGCATAAATAGGTTTAGTGCTAATTCTAGATAGGACAGATTATTTATAAACTACTAAAAGAGGAAGTTGTCACCATTGTCCAGCATGAATTCACTGCAAAGTCACGCCATGGTAATCTAACATCTCTTGACAGAGTTCTGACTGTGGGTCAAGAAAATTGTTGCCCTAAAAAATCAAGAAATATAGTTGTAATAACTTTTATATTAAAAAAAAATTCAAAGCAGGACTAGCAGATGGTGTGGAGGTTAAGGTGGGCTAGATTCCTCATGGCCTACTGAGCAGTTCATGTCCCAGACCCAGTGGATTGATGGACCAAGTGTTTGTGTGTGTGTGTGTGTGTGTGTGTGTGTGTGTGTGTGTGTG